CTAATACTACGACTACGACTACGACGACGATGACGACGACCACGACGACGACTACTACTTACTGCAACTGCCACTAGCAGTAACACAAGCACCGGCACTAGCACACCAGTACCAGCACTACCAAATCCATTGCTACCACGAACACCACTGCCACCATCACTAAAACAACTATCCCTGCTGCTCAAGACACCTTTGAACGCGCTGCTCCAGGTGGAAGCGCAGCTTGATGTCCGAGCGGAGGAGACCGGCATGGTTCGTCTTGAAGACCGCCATGCTGTGTTTGTGGTGCTGCAAGTAGATGTCCCAAAAGTTGGTGTGGTCGCAGCCGAGCTGCTGGCACGCTGGGTGCCATGCGTGCTGAAGCTTTTCGATGGTGTCGTCAAGGGATCCGTTCGTGGCATGGCTGTCCAAGATCTGGTGACTATTGGCGGCCGCCTCTCGAAGAGCCAATGCCATGGTTACGGTAGCCGTGTGCTCCGTCCCAACATGAGAAATGAGTCGCCGCAGCGAAGCCTCATGTAAGCTGTCGGAATCGAGCTGCAAGAACGAGGGGTCATGCTCCGATCCATCACAAACAAAGGCCTCCGGCAAGAGGATGTCGCTTGCAAGGGTGCTGCCCTCCTCGTGGTCCAACGCGTCGCGAAGCAGTGGCCACGTGATCTCTTCGAAGCGTGTCACCTGCTCAAGGATCATGGCGTAGACCTCCATGCTTACATGGGCCGGCACGGCGGCCTGAATGACGCATGACGCAGCCACGATGCAGGCCATGTAGCTTCTGAGATCCTCGTGGAAACACGGGTTTCCATCAGTGGCTCGGCTTAGGACGTCATCCAGAATCGCGTAGAAGCCGGCGGCCTTGTCCATCACGAATGGCACGTCGTGTCCGAAATCGCTCGCGCGGAAGGTGATGTTCCCACCTACCATGTTTCCATCTCGGAGAATTTGTGTGGCGTTTGTCAGGTTGATGATCGCGAGGGGCAAGGCCACTGTCAACTCCTGCACATACTGGATCTGCGATGCTGGGATATGCGGCTCGCGAAACTTGTAGGCCAAGTACGGGAGCAACCGGAGGAAGCTGAAGCTGAAAAGAAACTTCATTGGGGAGTCTGAGAAACGGAACTCGCCTCTGTTCAGGCGAAACAATCACGACTGATCGCTGCAAATGGCTGCAACCAGCGTCTGCATCTGGCTAGATCATACTTATCACACTTGTGATAAATCCTACAACACCTCGATCAAACGCAGCAAGTCGTGAAAGCCTGCACAGCCAGCCCTAGGAGCTAAGACAGCAAAGCACCTCACGCTTCGTGCGAAGTTGTGTCAAACGAATTCTTCCATGATCCATTATGTAACTTAGCTATTTTCCGAAGTGGCCCGAACCAAACGCATCTAGAAAGCAACAAATGCAGCTGCTTTAAATGCATTTTGCCTCGTCATTGAAGGTTGCCCGTAAGCCGCAGAGTTTCGGATTCTTTTGGAGCTCCTGGACAGGCAAAGCGTCCAAGTGTTGCTGTCAGCCGGAAGGCCCTACGGAATGGCCTTCAAACAGCGATTTTCTGCACGGCTGCCCGATGGTACGACGGCAGCATCAAACATCATGACACGTTCCGAAATGCCCGCCTCTTCCTCTAGCACGCTTGAGCTGCATGGCTTCGTTCAGCACAGCCCGCATCTGCGTGTGACTCGAAACGGATCGCTCCTCCTTGCACGTCGCTGTTGCCGTTGCTCCTCAGCAGCATTCAAAACTGATGAGGCTTCCTGCAGTCCAACTGTACAGCAAGACATTGCACCATCAAATCACCGCACAGATGCTTCTCTGCTACCGCAATTTCCTTCGTACTGGCCAGTGCCACGGACCGCAGACCCTCCGGCCTTTTCCGCAGTTGGTCCCCGTGCAGCCCTGATCGCAGTTCTCACCTCGCCGGTCACAGTTCTGTCGAGGTGCACAGGAGAAATCCTCAACGCTTCGAAAGGCTCCCCGAAGTGCGTCTCATGGGCATAAAGGCATACAGACCATGACAGTATTGATGGGTTAGGATGGTGCAGACGGCTAGGATTCACCTAAGACAGGAGAATCTTCGGTCATATCACAAATCCGCTTGCGTCGTCTTGCAATATAGTGGCTGCATGGGAGTTGCGAGATAACTACTTTGATTTGGGTGAGGTAGAGTGTAGTAGACCGGGCACGTTGGAGCCGGTGTAGGAACAACAGAACATGCTCGATCACCATTGCCAAGACATTGGGTAGCGAACACAAACGGGGCAGACGAGTTTTGCTGTGTCAGACTAGGTTGTCAAGTCCCAAAGACTTGGCTGCGTGCCTGCATGAACAAGCCCAATGTGCGCAAGTCATGGCCCCGGCTGGGTATCAAACACCCATTCGAATGCAATTCCCCGAGGCAGCCTTCGCATCCCATTGCACAGCCGTCGCCCTTGCAGCCAGCTCCCTCGGAGAGTGTTTCTGCATATCATAACATTCATAGGGAAGCTGCGCTTGGCTTTGGTAGAGTTCTTCTTAAGCTGGTCACGGCGCGGCAAGTGCTCAGTAGAGGCAAGACCACGGCATGACATGCTTCCTCAGCATCTCAGGATCCCGGATGATCCCGGGCCGAACATGGGGGTATCATGGGGCAGAAACCTGTGCGTTGCCAGGTTGCGGCTCCGAACTCCGAACCTTCCTTTGACGATCCCGCCCCTCAGAATCCTTGCATCCGCAGCACGCAGAAGGCTCCTGGAGCGGCTTAGCCGTGCTGAGGGCTCCGGATATGGCCGAAACTTCAAGCGAATTTCAGGATCCTGGCACTATGAACTTCGACCGGTTGCGTCTTCTGTCGAGTAGTCTTACTAGTAGCTGGTTAGTGCGACAACTCCTTCCTCCAAGTTCAGCGTCAGGAAACTGCCGAGATTAGCGAAGCTGAGACTAGAGATCCTTTGCAGTTCGCCGCACAACGGCGCCCGACGCAGCCGGCAGCGCAGTGGGACTTGCTGCCTCAAAGATGCAAGCCGAGTGCTTGTGCTGAGAAAGGCTGTCAGTAAACCGACGAGTCTGTAGGGGTTCTGAAGTGCAAGGGCTCAGGGTATAAAGGGATCTTAGGATTCAGGGCCTATGGGCTTTCGGGTGAAGCATCCGGGTGGCCAGAGGTTCCACTGCAGCCGGCACCGCATCGCTCTCCTGTGCACCCCTTGGCGCACTCGCTGCCTGGAGACTCTTTGGACTTACGGATTCAGGTTCTGAAAAGCGAAGTAAAGGGCTTCAGGTGCTAAGAGCTGCTAAGTCATCATCAACGGGAGCAGGTCAAAGTCGCACGCTGCAAGCCAGAATTTTGTTGCCTAACTGCTGTGGCTGTAACTACTACGGCTACAGTACTACTTTACTGATAGTTAGGGCATACGGCCCATTTGCCTTGGCACGACGCCGCACAGCCCACACCCTTGCAGCCGGCGCCGCATTTCTCCACATCCTGTCCGAGGGAAGCACAACGCCCAAAGCAGGGCCGCGGTTTTAGTGCTTTCCGCTAGGAGAACCCCTGATTACACCGCTCTGCCTCCAGCTTTCCGTTGCACCTAGGCCAAGCTCGCTCTTTCCAAAGAGATCTTCAAAGACATTGACATGAGCATAGCACATAGGTCTATGTCTGTGCCAAATTCTTGCAGCGATTGAGCACCGTTGCCCCAAGCCTTACACTCCCGTAATTACTCTTGAGGTCGGGGCTGGAAGGCGCAGAAGTCGCCCTCGCAACTTTTGGCGCAGGTCGCTCCCACGCACAGGGCACCACATTCTTCGCCCTTGCACCTCGCCGGGGGGGGGGGGGGGGCGG